AGGCTACTTCACAGCAAGATTTATTAATACATCCAAAAGAAAGAAAGAAAAATCATTTTGTCACACTATATACAGATAATACATACAGTGTTTTATACACATATTACATCAGTTTTTACACAAGAAAAATATACATAAAAATGTAAACTTTTGTATACAAAAACCCTTAAACAAATTAAACAAGGACCAGATAACAAAAGGAGACCAACCCATTATTATTTCATCAAATTTTTAAAACAGTAATACAGTACATTCATTGAGAGATATATGGAAAATGTGAGCCATCTCTTCTTGTTTAAAGGGAAAGTACAAACCAAAGCAGCCCATCTTCCTCCACAATGTGGTCCCCCCTCCCAGCAACACCACACCCAATGTCACTGATACACCTTTCCACCAGGACTGGGGTGGGGGGTGTCTCACTAAAACCTGTTCATCTCATCTCACTCCTACCAGAAACAAGTGGCCCCTCGCTTTTGTGCATATACTAAGCCTGCAGCCACTAGAACACAAATACAGAGGAGAAGATTCTCAGTTTGTAATTTCCCTTTAAGCGGCGTTTTTTTTGTTTTTTTTTTTGTAAATATTTCTAACGTATGGCCTGTTAAACGTCCTGTGTGCCAAGGTGAATGAGAACACTGAAAAAGAAGGGCTTTGAGAACTGCTAGTCCTTGCTACCGTGCAGTTACTTTGTTAGAAGAGATTTTAAAATTGGCCAACCTGTCATTTACTGGTTTCAAATAAACTACCTCACCTTTGATTTCCCACTGCAACTCGGTTTCAACTTACACTTCAGTACTGTATGTGGTTAGTACCGCACAATGGCCAAGAGGCTTTTGTTAAAGGCTGCTTCTGATATCAAGTTCCAGCTGAGCCACTGTAGAAATCATTCAAACCCCAACCTCTCTTTTTAGGCTTTAGACACTCTTCCTCTCTGTTTTTTGTAACATCTTCTGATTGAGGATTGTCCAACCACCTTTGTCTCTCTGCATTTCTGGAGCTGTAATCTGCTGACAACTCATCACAAAATAAAATAATATTTAGCAGGTTTTTTCTGAATGTCCTTGCATTCTGGGTGTCAAATTTGATATACTAATGGGTGGGGGGGACCCTGAAGCTGTGGGGAATAAAAACTCGATCTGTGTCTAGATCATGCAACTTGGGAGTTCTTTCGGGAAAGAAAAAAAAAGTTTGGGAAGACCTCTAAATAAATGCAAACCATGCTTAAGACAGCTCAGGAGAGAGCTGGCTCTTTTAAAGATGGATTTTGAACAAGGCAGAATAACAATTAGGTGATGTATTTCCCTGCAGCAAGAGTGTAGTTAACTTCCCCCAGGCAAAATGATCGCAATGATCATTATTTATTAATGAAAGGAAGAGGCAAACTGGTGAATTAAGTTGATCTAGGAGATGGTGGATGACATAGACTAATGGAAATATTAGGATTGTTTTATGACTGAAATAAACAGGCTGGCTTGTGGTATATCTCCATTTCAGAGAGAGGAAAATGCTCCATGTTCGTCAAGTGAATCTCCAGCTCTTTCTTACTCTCATGGGACAGAAGGCATTTTTTGAACGACAGTCTCCCTTTCAGTTAAAAAAAAAGAAAAAAAAAAGAAAAAGCAATAAAAGGAGAAGGAAGATAAATAAATAATGTGTGGATGTCTTTAGATGATACTTTTAAATGTTCTTTAAATAATTTTTGATAATGTATTTTTAAATCATTACATACAACTGCTATTGCAGTGACAATATTCCAGTAGGGGCAGCATTTTGCTAAATGTAGAAGATTGCCATTTAAAACTCATACATATACATGTGTATATACAGTTATATCAACACTATTTATATACATATATATCTAGAGAGCAACATTTCATTGCCTTTGAATATCTATATCCACTCCCACAATATATACCGGAGACATACTGTGTGAGTATATATGAAAGTATATGTACACATGCCCCAACATGTATATATACACTTTTGTCTGTGTGTGCATAAGAGCTTTAAAGGCACAATATATAGGGATGCAAGCTTTCTAGAGAGCTGCAGCAAAGTTAAAACATAATGTCACAACTGTGAGAAAAGTCAAAAGGAAATACAGCTGAATTCATTGCACAAGAACTCATTAAAGCAGTTTCTTCATGAATAAAATGACTTACGGAATTCAAGAGGCTTACACATGACTTAGTAGGCTTTCCATTAAAATGTAAATGGTTAAGTTTATGATTAAACCGCAAAGCAAACCAAAATGTTTAAATGACAAATTAATGACAATAAGTGCTGAAATAAACCTAACACTAATATCAATCATTAAAATATAATTATGTTCTTTTCGGTTTCAGTAAAATAATCTGGTAAATTATCTAGGTAAAACTTTCAAATTGGTTTTGTTTGACTGCTGGGTTTTTGAGACAAAGATGTATGACCAATTCTCAAGATTACTAGAGAAATCGTACCAAATTTATCTGTTCTGGGAACATTTCAGAGATAAATATCTTCGAAAGAAACAACTGAGAAATTAATGTTTACACCAAATGCTTCTGTCTAGGACAGATGTAATTACAAGGAAAGAAAACCACAATGATGTGTGATTTTTTTTTTTTTAAGTGATGAGAGATTGGCTAGTAGTAGGTAATGAAGATGAAGAATAGTGGAAAGGGCACAGTAAGAATATTTCAGACAGGTATTCATTTATAACAACCATAAACAAGACAATAATCCAACAGACTTCCATTTAAGTATGCTCTGAAGTCTACACTGTCGCCTCCTCTGCTTTACAGAATAATCCAGAATTTTCCATAGATGTATAATCTTGCTTAACAAAAGCTGTTTACCTATTACACACACACTTTTTTTAGGGAAATATATGTATATAGCTTTATCTATACACACACATATACATACGTGTATATATAGATTTATACAAATGTATAAATAAACATAATACTTTTCAATCTTTCCATTGACAAGGCAAATTCACATTCAGCAAAGTGCCACCACATCCCATATACACATCTCTGTACAGATATACACAAAAGGGTCCGTTTTCACCCTTCAATCAGGGAGAATTTATTCTAGCAAATCCCATTAACCAGCAACTGAAGGGAGAAATGGCACCAATACAAGCTCCCTTTTTTTGTTTGCATGCATATGTACAAGAAATATGCAGATTTTTAAAAAATCCAAAAGCAAGAGTGAATGAAACTGGGAGATGCTGCAAAAATACAACTGTAAAAAGAACATAGAAAGCTTCCCTAGGTCTTGACTGTATCTCAGATGAAGTAAATGAGACTCCAAAGATCACTACAAATTCAGGTGTATTATCAGAAGTTGATTTGACATATTTCAAAGTACATGATTTTTTTTTTTAATATTTAAAAATAGATGTGATTAGAGTGTTAAGTAACAACTCTAATTTTGACTGTTTTGGACCAACAGATATTCCAGCAATGAATGTATAGCAAAATGATAACTTAAAATACAGAAATGCTTTCTAAAAAATTACATATGAATCAGGTAAAAGTAGAGGACAGTGTAATTATTTCCTAGCCAAAATGTAGGAGTGGGGCACTCGGACTTCATAAATAATATACGAGTGACTACATGTTTTTTAATGGAAATAACTGAAATTACCCCAGTTTGAAATCAAATGCACAGTGAAATGATCCCACCAACTCCTTAAAGCAGTCCCCTCAAAAAGTTCTTAATGAAAGGCCTATAATTTTCCTTAACTTCACAAGAAAAGATGATCAACAGTATTTTCTTACTCAGAATATGAAGAAATCTATTATGAACATAAAAAAGGTTCAACAGATCTCTGGTCCCATCACCCCAATAGATAAACACAGCTTATGTAGGGGGTCTGTCCTCCATCTGTCTCTCTCTCCCTCACTTATTTTTATGCTTTAAAGTGAGAGGCTGGTCTTAGAACCTGCTGTGTTTCTTGTCATTTTAAAAACATAAGTTAATCCAAAGGTTAAAATAAAATGCACATGATATCAGAGCTAGCCTTTCAGCATAAGATAACATAACGAAGAGTTTGGTGTATTTGTACAACAGAGACGATGAGAAAGTAACTCCAACACCCTCGACTAGATAAATCATAGTTCTACAATACATTCGGTTACCTTTCTCTATTTTTACATAAGCACACATTCATATCTCTCACACATGTGCCCCCAATGTATATTTTTGCATGTGTGTAAAAACACAGACATATATACATGCACACACGTAATTTAATTCTATTTTTAAGTCACAGTGGGAATTCCTTAGTGAGGAGGGATAAAAAGTTCCTGAATAAGACACTGAGAACATCTAGATTTATTATTTTCTCTATTTTACTTCCCAACTTACAGAATAAACTGTAAATTAAAGAATAAATCCATAGGAAATAAGAGAGGTCTTAAAAACTTAGTTTACAAATTCCAGCTACAGTAGTTGGAGTTTTTCTTGATCTACGTATTTCTATTTACCCTGTAACTAAGCTTCTAGCCATCTTAAGTGTAAACCACAGATCATTTTACTAAAGAACATGATTCTCAACAGTTCTATGAGCAGTAATAAATGGTCTAAAGGTGTTCTACATTTTGAGGCCCCAGGATATCCTTTTATTTTATATATCTGCAAGGTAGCAAAGGATAGCTATACACCTTGACACGGCAGAGATCCAGTGTAAAAAGGTGCTTCACTAGTTTGTTTTGTCAAAAAAAAAAAAAAAATTGAGGCCCCAGGATATCCTTTTATTTTATATATCTGCAAGGTAGCAAAGGATAGCTATACACCTTGACACGGCAGAGATCCAGTGTAAAAAGGTGCTTCACTAGTTTGTTTTGTCAAAAAAAAAAAAAAAAACAAAGCTCATATATAATTATTTAGCTATTAAACACATAGGCAACATAATTCATTACACTCAATACAGCTTTAGTATAAAACTTATAATTTATGAGGTGATGTTAATAGCATAAATTAATATACCTTTTCTCTTAAAATCTACAATAAGTATTCTGAAAGCTCATTGGGGGAGGAAGTTTTTAAATAAAAGTTTAAAGCTGTGCATGATGGGAAGGGAGTCTGTATGCTGAAGCTGAGATGAGAGCCTGAAGGAGAAAGGAAAAAGTCCTATGCAAGACACTGTGGGCTACGAAATCAAATGTTTTTCTCTTTCTTGCGCTCTCTTCAATGATGAGTCACCTTTAGTTTCTTTTAAAACTATTTTCTTATTTTAAAAACTGCCCTAATTTCCACAAGGAATCCCTGAGACATACTCAATACTATACAGTGAAAAGAACTATCACTGTTGAGAGGAACTGAGTCAACCCTTTCAAACAGGTGAAGACAACGTCAGCAAGTGTCAAACTTTCCATGATTTCAGCGCTAACCAGCTGGAGGCAACTGTACCTTAACGATGCAGGTGGGAGTCATTTCAGGGCAAATCAGTCTGTTCCCCACGTAAAAGCAATGGGGTGGCATTTTTAGCTGCACTGGAGCCTTCCGCACTGCACGCTGAAAAGTTTTCCAAGGGGAACTCTGGGTGTCTACAGAGCTTACTTCAGTGGTCCCCAGCTTAAAAACAAAACCAAACAAAAACAAAACGAGTGAAAGAGGAGGATTCTATTACTCTTCGGGGCCAGGATCAGTTCAGATCACGTGCCCCGTATATGCAAACCTCGGGGCTGGGCAGGACTGGGCAGGACTGGGCAGGACTGGGCAGGGCTGGGCAGGGCTGGGCAGGGCTGGGCAGGGCTGGGCAGGGCTGGGCGAGGCTGGGCTGGTGGGCAGAGGAAGGGAGGAAGGAAAGCTGCACGACTCTCCACACCTACTAAGGGTTAGAGAGATGTTTCTCTTATAATTGTTTTCCAGACAAAACTTCAGATCACCAAAAACACTGCAATTCAAATTAGCACAACACTCTCCCCCATTATTTGGGAACACGGGGGACAGTCATACCAAGTTGGCTTGCGCTCTCTGAAACCCCACATCTCCTTTTATAAGCTCTGTAAGACAGTACAGAGATGCAGATGCTAAAAGATTAAGAGCTGGAGTCACGAAAAGTGTTTTCATTATTTAGAAATAAGGATCCCTAAGTTTGACCCACAACTGCAGCATTAATGATACTGGTTAATAAAAGAGACATAAATATTCATGTGTGTTTTACATTTTCTTTCCTAACTCAACGGTGCAGGTGGGAGTCATTTCAGGGCAAATCAGTCTGTTCCCCAGGTAAAAGCAATGGGGGTGGCATTTTTAGCTGCACTGGAGCCTTCCGCACTGCACGCTGAAAAGTTTTCCAAGGGGAACTCTGGGTGTCTTCAGGAGAAAATGCTTAGCAGATAATCCAGGTACCTTCTTCACTGGTATTTCATTACACATTTTTTTAAAAGATAGGATTTAAGATGTTACTTTGATTTACTAAACATGATTTTGGTTCCCTCCAGAATATGATATAGGAAAGCTTATGAAGGTCAAGATACTAAGAAACCATTAAATTGCTTTACTTTTCTACTGAAATGATAGTGATTTCCAACTTACTCAGAGTAAGAAAAAACTCTATGTTCTTTCATATACATAAGGCCCTTCCTCACAAGAAATATTTTTTTGTCAGAAAAAAAAAAATCCTTGGAACAACGTAGACATTGGTGATGAAAGAGCTATAAATGAGGACTGTTCAGTATAACTACATTTTCTTCCAAGGAATCCTCTAAATTGCCTCATTAAACTGGAAAGTTCTGCTGACCACTTAGCACGAGATTAAGAATAGAATTTAAACAGAATTTTTAAAAGTCAGAAAGAGAAGAAACTGAAAACTAGACACCTAACATTTTAAAATTAAATGTCAAACCTATTCAATAATTAGATTAGTGTTAATATCCTCATCTTTTTACACCACCAATCCACAACAACCTTTTGAACTAACTTGGAGAAAAGGCTAACAGTCTCTCAGAAACGCTCCTGATGAAACCCCTCAACCAGCATCAGCACCCCAAGATGCAAAGGGCACCCGCAGGACTGTGGGTGAGTGAGTACTGGCCAGCTGACACCAAGGGACTAAGGGACTGACCTGCAAACGGGCATGTTCTGATGCCAACTGATAAAAACAGAATAGTATAGGTCAACAGCAATTTCAAACCTTTTATGTTACAAAACAAAAAAATCTGTATAGACAGGGCGTCTGTATGTATCTGGACCTGGTTTCCTTCCTAATCAAAAACTATCTTTGTCACTGTGGATTTTGATCACGGATTGAGGCAGAAGAAAAAGCTTTCATGTTAGTCATAGAAAATGATGATTCTTAACATTCAGCTGAGAGATTGGGCTACGTAAGAAATAAATCTTATAAATAATTATTTGGCAAAGATAAAGTATTAGCTTTCTTTAGCTTTAAAGCCACTACAGACAGTAATACCAATTTTAAGGAAACTTAAAAAAAACTTTCCAACTTGAGTTCCATATCTACTATTTGCTTCTTACTAAATTATCTTTTCATAGAAGGACACTAGACACACCACACTGCCTGCCACCATGAAATTGCTCAGGAAGTTATTTATAAAGCAGTTATCTCACACACGGTAGGTTTCTAGAGAAAATAATCCTTTGCTGTATAAGCTATGCGACGATAATTAGAAAATTTTCCATTGCATAGTCTGTCACTTGGTGGGTTAAGTGTAATTGCTATTTACTATCATGAATTGTTTACTAGCTACATAACCTAACCAGATGTGCAAATTGCTATGCCATTTTTACAGAGCAAAAACAATGTTTTAAGTACTTTAATTAAAATAATATTAACAATTACTTAGGGAGAGGGAAGGAGAGAAAGCCCATCTTTTCTTCAGATGCTACAGATAACAGCCAGTGAGTATCACACGTGAGAATGGAGTTCAGATTCTCAAAAGCACAGAATGGATCCATTAACTGCAGCAACTTCAAAAATTAAATCACAGTAACACAATCGAACTGGCCTTTATCAATGGTCCCAAAGAACTGCAGAAACAGAGCGAACCTTCTTTGTCACTACGTATGTGTTTAACACTGGGATAAAAGCTATTGATAGTGTCCTCCTAATTAGGACCTCTCTAAGGTTGGTTTGTGATTCCAGTATTGCCTTAGGACAGCGTAAGTGCTATTTTAAAAGACGCGAATTTTCATATTTCTGGAATAAAAGACACTTCATTTCTTTCTTCACATATTAATAACACACCTACTGCTAATAGACTAGAATTGCTCCATTAATTAGAAGAAAAGTAAATAGATTATCTCTGGGCTTAGAGATGTTCTTCTCTCTTCTGAAAAAGGACTCACAAGAAACAGCAAGAGCAAAGCAAACTGCAAGCCTGGATATTAGTTCTGAAGTACATTAAATGAGAAGGAAAGTTTGTTTTTGCTCATCTCTCAACCCTACCCAGGAACTTTCTAAGACAGCCCTTTCTTCAGCTATCATAATGGGCACCTACATAAAAACAAATCCACTCAAAGTTTTTGGTGTGAAGCTGTAACTGGCAACATTCCTGATCATTTCATGCCTCCTTACTAGAAAGCAGAGAAGGGCTTTTAAATGCACAGAAAACAGAAAATTGCAAACAATAAAATGTGCAACTTACTGCAAACTCAGTTGTGATAACTGAAGAATTTTCAGCAGCTCACAGGAGGGATACACAGCCAGAAACGTTCAAATCCACTACCCATGACTTTCCCCTCACTGTCAAAGAAAGTCCACACGCTGCTCTGCTATGACCTTTAATTACACCACGGAGACTAAACCGAATCGCTGGGAATGGACAGTTATCTAGTGATGACTATAATGGGACACGAAAATAGTTTAGGAAACTAAGTGACACTTTTGAGCAGAGGTAACTACTCATAATCATTTCATTACAGTACATTAAAATTAAAAAGCTTACTAATGTAGGTTCCCAGGTGAGAATATGCAAATGATCTGCTCCCACCATTGAGAATAGAAATGTATGGTGATACCAAATATAATTTTGCTTTGTGACATAATTCATAATTTAGAAATTTCTCAATCTGCATAAAAGGCAAAGCTATTAAAAATAAATCTTCCAATCAGCTACCATGATTTAAAAAAAAAAACCAAAACCCTAAATATATTACAAACATATTTTTGGCCCACAAAAAGAAACTTCAATAAATACAAAATAGGGCATACAATGATTTCATACAGTCATGAGACATTTCCCCTCCATAATCTCAGGCACGTGGTATCTGCATAATGCCTGCTGATCACCATCATTCCTTTAAAAAGCAGAGAAAGAAAAGCTTTCAAAAGAAGGGACTGGTTAGAACTAGCATGGCATAAAGAGAATGTGTACAGGAAGTAGGAAAATACATCCAAATCTTTACCTATTAGAAAGGAATTAAGATCAAATATTCCCTGACAAATGAATTATTGTACCACAACATTAATAGATATGTTCTCTCTATGGATCTTTTAAAATATATATATGTAAATTAGACTAGACTCAGGTATAAATAGCCAATGGTATCTCAAGGGACAGTGAAACTTCTCAGTAAAAGCAGAGTAGAGATGCCTTTACAATCCCTCTGTGGGAGGAAGAAAAGGCAGGCAAGAAGAGACCTCACATATTCATTTCATGGTCACCAACTTTCTAAACTACCCAATATGATTTTTAATCATAAAATCCTGAAACTTTCAAAAGAAAAAAATCCCAAAACAATTCCCAAATTTACTTAATCGTAATTACTTAAATTATTTTAGAAGTACCGAAGGGTGGGTAAAATTTATGTCTAATTCCCATATTCTGCTTTGAAACAGAAACTTTAAAATGTGTATCCTTCAGATATTACACACCACTTCACAACTGGTACACGGATTCTACAAGTGTCTTCAACATTTTACAAATCTTACCAAAGAATCACTACTGTAAACATGAAAAATTCCAAAGCAAAAGATGGATCAGGGAATTCACAGATTCCCATCTTTTCAAATCTATCTCATCTATCCTGCTCTTTCACATCAAAATCTTTTTTTTTCCATTACATCTTGCAAATGTATTTCATGACAGAGGGATTTAGAAACAAATGTGTACCTGAAAAAGGCAAAGTGGCCGCCAGGTCCCCAAACCTCAGCAACCCTGGAGCCACACTCCAGGCAAGCTTTTGATGACATGCCCACGCCACTCATTTGAATTTACTTTTTATGTTTCATTTCTTCTTGGGCTAACTTTTAGCAGAAAGGGGTTGTGCTATTCCCTCCCTGTTCAGGACACTTCAGCTGATTTAGTGGGAAAGAATAGCCAACCTTACCAGGGCTACAATGTAGAAAGGAGGAAAACACTTGGTACAGGGGAAAACAAACCAAAAACGCAAAAACCCAAACCAATGGGCAGCTGCTGCTTGCACTGCACAAAAACACACATGTGGGCACACACATACTTACAGGGCAGTCAAAAGACAATTCTTTTTCCTTTTTTGTTAAACATGATCACAATTAGGAATGGAACCCTGACCTCACTGTGGTGTTTAGCAGTTGGTTTAAGTCAGAGCCTTGACCTGTCTCTACACACCATTTGCTATCTCTTACACAGGAACTCAATAGTAATAGGCTCATTCTAACTGGAACCACCTGTGTAAGAACCTGGCAACAGAATGGAAAGCATTGATCTGAATACTAGGAAATAGTAAAGGGCACTGGTAATCTGAGGTATCTTCCACTTCTAGGACTTGCTGCTAAAAATCCATCCTATCCAGTCTCTGTGCTGAACCACTAAGGAAACCACTGGGGCCGAGTGGACCCGCCCGGAGGGAAATGAGCACCAGTGCTAAGGAGCACACGTGAACACTGAAGCAAGGTCCACTGCAGGGCCACTTGTTGAACTGGGAAAGGGGTGCCCCTCAAATCCCCATCTGTTATTTTTAAAATCTTCTTGAGGAAAAGGGGAGAAGGATGCTAAGGAGGAAACAAAGATAGAAAACACCGGGTTCCCCACCTGCCTGCAAACACACAGACACGCTCAGTTAGGGGAGGGGAAGGGAGAAGATGCATTATTGGTACTTGTAGCTGTGGCACCTGTTACTGTGAAGCCTGTAGGAGGGGCTATCGAGCTGTGGCTGGGCTGCAGGTCCTTAGGAATGCCACTGTGAGAACTCAGCTGGTGGCCGAAGGCTGCGCTGAACTGAGGGAGTTGCTGCTTGGGAGAGGTGGAGGCCATTAGTTCAGCAGAAGGCCCCATGCCACTGAAGCTGGTCTGCGGTAACCCCGGAAGCACACTGGAGCTGCTGGGGGTCACGGTGGCGAAGGCAGGCTGTGTGGTCTCTGAGTTCGAAGTGGTGGGTGGTGTGGATAGGGAAGTGGAAAGAAGATGTCCATCTGCGCCGAGAAGGTTGCTGAATGGAGAGGGATCTCCGAGGTTGACGGGGAGATTTCCCCAGTGAGTTCTGGGGTTTACCACTCCTCCAAGTGGCACCTCAAGTTGCGTGGGGAGCAAGTGCTGCGCCATGATGGGCATCTCTGCTGAAAAGGTAGCTGCCATATTATCACCAGAGTAAGATGTCGTATGGGGAGAGGTGATATGGTCACTGTAGGGAGACGGCACATGCTCACTATCATAATGGCTTCCATGGGGCGAGGAGTGTGAATGATCACTGCTGTATTGCTGTCGTGAGGTGATTAGGTCATCTGCCTTGCTCAGCAGCTGGGCAGGATGTGGCCTCTGGGAGGCATGGCTGCCATCATGAAGTCCATGAAACTGTCCTGGGAAGGCTCTCTCCCCAAGTGCACTCTGGCTGATCAGAGTGGCAGAAGTAAGGCCAACGTTGGCTGGGGCAGAGAACTGCCCCTGGATCTGCCCTGCCAGGGGTGTAGGTGGGTTAGACAAGGTAGCAGAACGGAGCAGGTTCTCATCCAGCTCTAGACTAGAAAAATTATCATGTACTATACGCCCATTCAACAGCTCCCCTAGGTCCGTGTTTACCTCTCGGCTCAAGGACTGGATTCCAGAAGCTCCAGTGCCTGTGGAGAACACCCCTATTCCTCTATCTGACAACTCCTGGACTGGCACACCATCTGACTGGGTAAGTACCCCAATGGTACTCAGGCACTCGAGAGAAGTTACAGCCTGCAGGGCCCGTTCAAGCTCCTCAGCCTCTTCAGTAGTGGGAAGGAGGTCTCCATTCTTTCCTGAGTCAACAAAAGCCATCAAGAATCAGTAGAGCTTTTAACTGTTCTATACCCCCCGAAATCATACATTAGAATTATCTTCAACAACACTGTATTGAAAGAGAGCCCCTCTTGATAAGTTTCCAAGAATTAGATTGGAAGGGAAAATGAAATGTTAATCAAAGGACCCATTTGAAATGTCAGCTGTCCTGGAACTTGAATCACCATCTTCACTTTATTTATAATACCCTCCGAAACCATCTTAGCTGTGTTTGATCCTTAGGCATTCTAAGGATTACCAATTAAAAACTCGTGGTGACTGTTTGATGGCCCATGTTTTTACCTAAAATTAATGTTTTCAAAAAATAGAAAAATATATCGTATTCATTCAGACTTGGACAAAAAGCTCCTAGACCCTTCTAGCTGGAGGCCAGCAGTGGAAGACTAGAACACAGAAATTCACACAAAACACAACATTAAGCATTCAGTTCACTGCATGAGTTATCTTGTAACATGCTTCTAAATTACTTTCTAATTCCTCTCCTTCATTCCATGGACCTACTTTCATTTTATCTACAAAATTTAAAAAAAAAAAAAAAAACAATGGTTAGGAACTTGATTAATCATCATGAAAATATTCAGTTTTTAATGGTGAAAGAAACATTCTCAGAGTAAAAATTATTCCCCCTGAAAACACTGGGAAATGGGGGATGGAGCAAACTTTGTTTTGGAAAATGCACTTTTAATTGAAAATACAGTGGGGTATTAAAATCAGGGCAAGTTCTAAAAGACATCAATAAAGTCATGTTTATAATGTCTTCATTCAGGGACCAGCAGTTGGCGTAATGGCTACGTTGCTGGACTCCTATGTAGTCGACTGCAGTTTGAGTCCCGGACCCGGTGGCTTAAACTCATGCCAGGTGCATGTGTGTGCCTGCCCAAGATCCCAAGAGGAGAATGGAGGAGAAGGGATTGCGGCGTGGCCATCCCCCCTGGGGGTGATTTCTCGCTTTCTGTCTCTCTGTCTCTCTCTGTCTCTCTGGCAAGCACACGCGCCCTACAGCAAAAACCTCTCCAAAACTTAAAAGTCTCCATTCAAAAATAAAGTAGAATTAAAACTAAAAAAGGAATAAAGTTATAAACCTAACTATCAAACCATACTACACCTATAATACAGTAAAACAAATGACATATTCCTCACACTTTGAAAAATGTAAAATAGCTTTAGTGGTGTTAAATTTCCTACCTACAGTGAAAGAGATTATAAGGGGAAAGAAATACTTCAAATACATCTCAAAAAATGATTTCCCTTCTTATAAACTCATTTTAAACACCAGTTTTCTTGAGTCAACATATTGCCCATACCTTCAAAAAAATCAAAATCTTGTAGGTCATCAGGTAGCCGTGGCAGGACGTCAGAGAAGTCCTCCTGGTTCAGTTCCAAGTCGTGTGGAATGTCAGTGATCTCATTGGCGATGTCATCCGGCAACTCGTCGGCACTCAGCTCTGGTGTGGACGGGCTCCTGGAAAGAAGGCCAGGTTGGTCCTGCTCCTCCCTGCTCCCTTCACATCAAGGCTCCCAGGACGAGTCCGTCCAACACAGAGAGACGCTAATGTCTTTGAGGTGTTGCAGAGTTAATATAAACATGGGTACTCCTGACTTCAGGTCTCTTTC